CACTCGGGAGGCAGAGGCAGGCAGATCTCTGTGAGTTCAAGGCCAGCCTGGTCTACATAGTGAGTTCCAGGTCAGCTGGGGCTACAGGGAAACCCTGAAAAAAAAAAAAAAAAAAAGCCGGGCATGGTGGCACACACCTTTAGTCCCAGCACTGGGAGGCAGAGGCAGGCGATCTCTGTGAGTTCAAGGCCAGCGTGGTCTACATAGTGAGTGTCAGGCCAGCTGGAGCTACAGGGAGACCCTGTCTCAAAAAAGACAAAAAAATAAAATAATAAATGAAATATTTTTAAAACGTAAAAATTAAATATGTGTATATAATAAACACTGTTTCAACTCTGCAAAGGGAAAATGAGCAAAGGTTAGAGAAATGCACAAGAACTTCGTTTTCATATAAAAGGGAACAGGGAGGGGAATCTAATTCATAGATTTGTTTAGAAATTAGACAAATAGACTTCAAAGCTAACTGTGACCTATGTCTGTTACTCCCTTCAAAGCTTTCCGTGTTTGCTCTGAGTAGAACAGTCCAGAGAATTTCACTGGACTTTGACATAAGTAACCAGAGCAAAATTATCCAGGAAGAGAAATTAAATTAACATCCAGGAAGTTTCCTTGTAGCTGTTGGGGAAATGTAATGTGCTATACACAGGAGCCCCTGACTGCCCTTTGGAAGATTATTTATTATAGTAAAACATCCCACCTATGAGCTTTCTTGAGAAGCTGGATGTAATTTTTTTAAATGTATTTTTATTTTATGTATGTGAGTGTTTTGTCTGCGTGTATATAAGTGTACCACATGTGTGCAATGCTTACAGAGACCAGAAGAGGGTATCAGATGCCCTAGAACTGGAGTTAAGGATGATTGTCAGCTACCATGTGGGTGCTGGGAATTGAATCCAGGTCTTCTGTAAGAGCAGCCAGTGCTCTTTAACTGCTGAGCCAGCTCTCCAGCCCCAGGTGTAAATTTTTTTGAAACTTTTAGTTGTAGAAGAAAATTTAGTCCCCACTGGTTTTTCTTTACTTCTTTTTTTTCTTTCTTTTTTTTTTTTAATGTGTATGAGTGTATTGCCTTGCATGTGTGTAAGTGTACCTGTGTCATGCAATGCCCTTGGAGATCAGAAGAAGGTGTCGGATCCTCCTGAACTGGAGTTACAGACAGTTGTTAGCTGCCATGTGGGTGCTGGGATTCGAACTCAGGTCCTCTGCAAGAGCAGCCAGTGTTCTTCACGGCTGAGCCATCTCGCTACACCCCCACACACTGGCTTTTCTGTCCGTACACATGCCTGAATTCTAGAGGGAGAACAGGCTTATTAAGGAGAGGGCTTGTTGAAACAGCTCTACAGTATTACTGGGGATCTGCCTCCCAGTACTGTCTGCTCGGTTCTTTGACCTCCTTCCCACAGTTCCCCTGTCTCTCCTGCCATTGAGTGGGTCTTGAATTTCATTCATTGGATCAGCTTGGAGACACACCCATCTCTAAACCAGTCATTGCTCCAAGGGAATTTATGCTGAGTGTCTTGGGCCAAATCACATGCCTTTCTCTGAACAATGTGGTGGAGTGGATGGTATCGTGTTAATGGGCTTCAGTGAGTCAGAGCTTAAACTAGAAATGGCCTTGATCCCATTCATACTGTATGACTTAGAAACAAGGACTGGTTAAGACAGAGGGAGAGGGAGATGGATGCTGGAGGCTGCCAGCAGGGCCACCTCACTGTTTTACTGCCTCCTGAAAGAATGTCCATTTTATTGATCTGGAACAGGGTTTCCCAACTTTGACAGGATAATGAATTATTTTGAGGTTCTAGGCTATCCTGTGCATTGTAGGATGTTCAGCAGTAACCCTGGCTTACTAATAACACTCACCCCCCACTTTAGTAGTCAAAAATGTCTTCACACATTGCCAGATGTCACTGGGAGTAGGGGCAGAATTGCCTGGGCTAGGAACTATGGTTCTAGAATAGTGATCTGCACATTTTAACCATAACCCTAAGATTAAAATGATGTATGCTTGTGTACATGTATGTCTACCTGCAAGTGTGTAGAGGTCGACATCAGGGGTCTTCCTCTACCACTCTCCACTTTTTTTTTTCTTAAGTCTTTTTGAGACAGGGCCTCCCTGTAGCCCCAGCTGTCCTGGAACTCACTATGTAGACCAGGCTGGCCTTGAACTCACAGAGATCCGCCTGCCTCTACCTCCTGAGTGCTGGGATTAAAGGCGTGCACCACCACGCCTGGCACTCGGCTATAGGGTTTCCAAGCCAGGTGTGTTAGGCTTTTTTGTCACTGTGACAAAATGCCCAGCAGAAAGAAGAACTTAGAGGAAAACGGGAGTTATTTGGGCTCATGTTTTCTGAGTTTTCATTCCGTCGTGGTGGATAGGATGTGGCAGAGCAGAACAATTCCAGGTAGCCAGGAAGCAGAGACAGAATGGGAGAACACTGTTAATGGGTTCTCCTTTGCCCTCTGTAGTCCATAAACCCTAGTCTCTGTGATGGCATTCCCTACTCCAGGGCAGGCCTTCACTCCTTAGTTAGTACTCTCTGGAAGAGCCTTCATCTTCTACACCCAGATTCTAATGTTCACCAAGGCCACCAGCACAGCACACTGCCATATGGAGCCATGGCAAGGCAGACATTGTGGAGGACCACCTGTCGCCTCTCTGTCCCCATGCCCAGGGAATCCTAAATGGAGCCACAGATCTGTCTAGCAGTAGTAGTAAAGGGCAGTTTTGAGGAGGTTAGAGATTGATGTTTTCTGTGGGGATACATTTGAAAACCTTTAAGTTACTGGGAGGAATCTGCCCAGGAGGTCATTAAGGGGAAAAGATGGATTCAGAAGTGCACAGCTGAAGGGTAATAGTGGACGGGAGGGTAATAGTGGACGGGAGGCTGTTCCAGAACCATGTCTATGCCGTTTGTGAACTGAGCTTGTAAGGTGATGGGTTTGTGTTGGCTAGTGTCGTTGCCCAACTTTATGTTGGGCTGACTGAATGTGTTTACCAAGGTTAGGAGCCAGGTGCTGCTTGGATCAGACAATTGAGAAATGTCCAGCACATTCTTCTGCAAAGAATATAATTGGTTGTAATCTTGGACCTGACTTTTTATAAAACTTAAATATTTATGATTCGTTTTGTGTGTGTTGTGCTGGGAATTGAACCCAAGACCTTTACAAGCAAGCAAAACATGTGTTCCCCCATAGGGCTACATCCCCCACCTTTGAGTAGTTTTAGAAAAGTTTGAAGGGTAGGTCTAGATAGATCAGTATTTCACCCATACTGCCTTCTCAGACTGGTGAGAGTCTTGTACACAGTGGATCGTGAAGAAAGAAAGAAAAGTTAAGCTGAAAGATACTTGAAAAATTCTGCTAGAGGCCGGATATATAGTTCAGTGGTAGAGTCCTTGTCTAACATGTGTGAGGCCCAGGTTCAATCCCTAGCACCACCAAAAAGGGAAAAATTCTGCTAGGAAATTTATAAAAGAATTTGTTTTCTTCCAATTATGAGTATTTAGTGACTGTATTTCATACAGCTTAGTGACTTAATCTCCTTTGCACAGTTCACACCCAAGGCTCATTTCTCTGGTTAGACAAGAAGGGGTTTGCCCAGCAACTTAATTTTGATAATAGTACTTTGGTGTTGAGTTGCACAGTTTCCCCTGTTATTGGTGGTTAGCTGCAGCACTGTCATGGCATCCTCCTACCTATGGGTGAGGTGCCCAAGCCCTCGAGTGCCCAGCCACGCAGTGGGAAGTGGCCTGGGAGCCAGCCCTTGTCCCTGCCAACCCCTTCTGTTACAGCTGCAGTGTGCAGCTCAGAAGATGTGGTAGGCAGTGGGTGAAGCCTGCTAACCCCCAAAGAGGCCCCTCACGGTCTGGGGGGACAGCGTTACTTCCAGTCACCCTCAGATCAGTGGCACAGACTCAGTTGACAGCTGGCCAAAGTAACGAGTATGGTTGACTTAAAGTCAAAGCAAAGGTGTTCATCCCCTGTGTGATTTGACTTTGTGATGAAAGGATTTACCCAGAAGCTGGTTTTGTGCTGTTGACCAAAGTAGATGATAGTCACTTCCTTTTCTTACTTGAGTAGATTTTCCAGCATATGATTGTTATTATTACAGAAGATAAGTGGTTTGTGCAGTGTAAAAGATACAGGTTTAAAAGGTATTTACCTCTTAAACATTCTCCACTGTGTCCTGTCTTTATGCATTTCAGTACTTAGAGCAAAATTGTACAGACCATATAAATGAGGCTCTCCTTTTTTTTCTTAATTTTTTTTTTAATTTTTTAATTTTTTTTTTGTCTTTTTGAGACAGGGTCTCCCTGTAGCTCCAGCTGTCCTGGAACTCACTATGTAGAGCAGGCTGGCCTTGAACTCACAGAGATCTGCCTGCCTCTGCCTCCCCAGCACTGGGATTAAAGGCATGCGCCACCACACCCTGCTTTTTTTTTTTTTTAACGTATTTGAGTTGGGGCTGGAGAGATGGCTCAGTGGTTAAGAGCACTGACTGCTCTTGCAGAGGACCCATGTTCAATTCCCAACACCCACATGGCGGCTATGAACCATCCTTAACTCCAGTCCCAGAGGAATCCAAAGCCGTCTTCTGACCTCTGCAGCATTGCACGACATGGGTGCACTAACGTGCAAACAGGCAATACACTCATACACATAAAATAAAAATAATAAAATATTTTTTAAAAAAAAATTTGAAGTCTCCAGAGTGCTGGGATTAAAGATGTGTTGCTCTTTGAGACAGGGTCTTGCTATGTAGTCCAGGCCAGTCTCTGTCTCATAATCCTCTCTCGGCCTCTGGCATCCTGGGATTACCTACGTGAGCCAGCATACCCAACAGAAACATTCAACTAATGGCAGCAGTACAATGCTGAGTTATGGGGTCTTACTCACTCTGTAACTACAGGCCCCTGATTTTCTAAAAAATGTATTTATTGTAGTGGGAGTGGAAGTGCCATGGCATGTGTATAGAGGCCAGAGGACAACTTCTGGGGAGTTGGGTCTCTCTTGTTACCTCTGTCACTGCTCTGTATATGTGAGCTTCTATCCGATCCTCCTTTGTCCACCTCCCATCTTTCTGGAGGAGTGCTAGGGCTGGAGTTACAGATACAAGGCACTCCTACCAGCTTTTAAAACTTTAATAGGAACTCCAGGGCTTAAACTTGGGTTGTATGACAAGCACTTTGATCCACTTCTGAGCCGTCTTGCTGGCTCTGGGCCTGATTTTAAGTCCTGTCAAGATCTTGCTTTAGTCCCTTCTTGTGGGTATATATTAAGTGCTAGATTTCTCTTTAGATCTCTAACACATTCACCGTTATAGAGAGGCTAAAAAATATTCTACATAGACCAGTTCTCCAAGGAACTATCAGTCTATGGTGAGAGGGCAGGGGATAGAAGGTAGAGTACTTTCCCCAGCCCCAAATATTTAGATACATTTTAAAAGATGGCTGGTGAGATACTCAGTGGATAAAGGCACCTGCTGCCAAAGTGATGACCTGGGTTCAATCCCCTGTCCTCACATGGTAGGAGCCGCTAACCATTCTGGAAAGTTGTCCTCTGACCTCCACATGCCTCCTTCCCTCCCCCAAATGTATGTAATTAAACACATATTTTTAAAACAAAACATTTTCTGTGAAATCTCAACTGAATAGTCCTTGGCTGAGCTGTTATTTATGAACTTTGGTCGTAATGCTGTGGATGCAAACATGAATAAGGCCCCAGGTCCTGACCTGGGGAACTCACCCTGCTGTAGGGCCATGTTCCCAGGAAAGCCTGTATTCGTCCTTGATTGTATGGTTAGTGACTTTAGATGACACATGGTATCATTCATGGGAACTAGCCCATGAAACATGGTTTTGCAGGTAGTGTCATGTAAGAGAAGATGGAAATGGGTAGTTTAGGATAAATAAGGGAGTTGTCTTGAAGAAAGGTATTTAAGCTGGGCGTGGTGGTGCACACCTGTGATCCCACTACTCCAGAGGCTGCGGCCGGAGAATTGCAAGCTCGGGCTTTTTTATTGTCTCAATAAAAAAGGTCTAGGGGTATAGCCAGTGGTAGAGCATTGCCTGGCTTGTGCCTGGCTTCAGTTCTTGTTTCAAAAAGGAAAATGCTCAAGAAGTAATTCATGAAGTCTCTTGATATCAGCACACTCTGAAGGGCAGAGCTGGGGTGGTTGACGTAGAGGAACCATCCCAGACACGGCAACACAGCGTGCACTGAGCAGTACATGAAGGCAACACGAGACAGGTCCGCATTGCTAAACATAGAGTCTCAAAATAGTTCCATTATCTGAATGTTTGGCTTGATATAAGGCTGATTTCTAGACTGCTCACAGCAGCTGGGTGGCGAGACTGAAAGTGGGATGAATGTCCATCAGGAGGCGGATGGTTAACAGATTATAGAGTAATACAGAGGGATCGCAGCAGACCAGCATAAGTGATGTGGGCATCCATGTGACAGATATAGTTAACAGTGGTTCTCTGTAGCTCTGGAATTTCAACTAATTTTTTTTTTTTTTTTTTACCTTCCAGCATAACTTTGATTCAGTGAACACTTTTTTAAAGACAGAAAGGTTAGGTAACACATGCTGCCATTCTGATCCTCTATGGCTTTTTTCTGCAGGTGCGGGGGCACAGTTGGTGCTATTTTCACTTGCCCACTAGAAGTCATTAAGACCAGATTGCAGTCCTCAAGACTAGCACTTCGGACGGTATATTATCCTCAGGTTCATCTGGGGACCATTAGTGGAGCTGGAATGGTGAGACCAACATCTGTGACACCTGGACTCTTACAGGTTCTGAAGTAAGTTCAGTCCCATTCATCCAGCCCTCTCCGTCCCTGTCACCTGCCTTCTCCTCTATCACAGTTGTAGTCCAAAAAGAAGAATTAGATTTCTTATTTTGTGAGGAGGGGGGCAGTGTGTCACAGCATGTGTGTTGAGGTCGGAGGACAACTTGTGAGAGTTGATTCTCTCCTTCAGCCATGTGGGTTCCAGGCATCAAACTCGGTCGGCTTGCTTGGTAACGCGTGCCTTTATTGGCTGAGCCATCTTTTCAGCCCAGATGTTTTTAAGAAATTGCTGTTAATGAGTATAGAGATTTAGTTGGGAAACGAAAATGTCAAAAAAAGACAGTGAATACAACCACCACACGTAGTCCTTTGGGCAGAGGTCAGCCATGCTTGAGATTAGTAGAATGAAAGCTCGATTTCTTTCTCAGGTGTGTTTTGTTTGTGGAACCTACCTGTGCATGATCCAGGCATCCATGTAGATTAAATGTATCTGAGGGTGCATCTAGCTTACTGAGCAGAGCTGGACTGTGCCACTGACTGGGAACCAGGAGGTTAGAAACTGGCACAGGAAGGCTTGAGGCCAATAATTGTGGACGTGGCAGGGGTGAATCACAGTGAAGATAAAGGTGAGCCAGGATCAATCCTAAGTGGCTGAGAAAACACTTCCTCCTAGTGACACTTTTCATCTAAGGAGCGTGCAGTACCTTAGTCACAGTGAGATAAACAGGTAATCTGACCACTAACGTTCAAAATGAATTTCTTTGGGGGGCTGGAGAGATGGCTCAGCAAAGAGTACTGGCTGCTCTTGCAGAGGACTTGGGTTCAATTCCCAGCACCCACATGATGGCTAACAACCATCTATAACTCCAGTTCCAGGGGTCTGACACCCTCTTCTGACCTCCATGGGCATTGCACGACCTGGGTGTACTTACATACATGCAGGCAATACATTCATACACATAAAATAAAAATAATTAAATTTTAAAAATGTACTTCTTCATACATGTTTGCCACGTAGCTTGTGACTAGTTTACATTTACTGTACATGAGAAACCATTACCCAAAAGTTGTGGCTATCCATAGGGCTAAGCTTGATTCTTCTCTCTTTTTTTTTTTTTTTTTTTTTTTTTTTTTTTGGTCTTTTTGAGACAGGGTCTCCCTGTAGCCCCAGCTGTCCTGGAACTTGCTATGTAGACCAGCCTGGCCTCGAACTCACAAAGATCCGCCTGCCTCTGCCTCTGCCTTCCGAGTGCAGGGGTTAAAGGTGTGCGCCACCACACCCGGCTTCTTCTCTATTTTAAGTTTTATGAAATGTGTGTTCTCTGTCTTCAGTATCTTTTGTCTCTCCTATCTCCAGTTGCCCCGTGTAGGGCAGTTATTAATTACAGTGTAACTGAAGGAAAAAGGCATTCTGACTTTGAAAATGTCCTACATTCCTAATCACTTCCACACCACAAGCATCCATTGGTTGGTACAGCTGTGGCTGTAGTCATAAGCTGTGATTCCCTATGAACACTCTTAGCTACTTATACCATATCGACATCAAAACATAAGTCATGGAATTTAGTAAATTTTGATTATAATGACACTGCCCATGTTAAGAAAGCTTGGTGACGTAGCATTTTTCATTCCAAGGGCTCATGCACTGCAGCTTTCCTTCCTCAGCCATTGTACACGTTTTTAGGATTCTCCCGTGGCTTCAGCTGTTATTAACGGCCTTCAGGTATTTTTAAAAAAAAAAAACGATTTTTCACAACAGCCTTAAAGAATTAGCATTGATGAGGACATGCAGGTGAGCAGTGAGGCGCAAACCCAAAGTCATGCTCCGCACAGCCCCTTTATTTCCAAGAACAGTCTGGAGCAGCGAAGGGCAGGGCTGAGCTGCCGAGTCCTCCGGGTGTCATGCGGAGATAGCCACGCTGGCACAGGTGCCAGGAGCATAGCCTGCTCCTCGCTGGCTGCCTCTTCTGTTCCCTTAGCTGTGTCTGCTGCCCTGCCAGCCCCTCGGAGCCTGGCTTATTCTTATAGAGCTCTCGTGTAGTCACCTATGAGTGACAGTATTTCTCTCACTTGCCCCTGCTGCCTTGTGTAGACAGCTTGAATGTTCTCCATCCTTCCTAACAAAATGGCTGCAAAACAAAGCTCCTGAACTCCTGTCTCTGGAGGCTTCCTGCTTCCTTAAAGCAGGTTCATCCTCGCAGCTGTAGTTCTAGGACCTTTGGTGCCCAGTCAACTTGGGCACCAAAATAGATACAGAACCTGGACCCTGTTCACTGCTCCCTCCGGTGCCGTCCCAATGAAAGCTGCCTCGTTAGCTTTCTGGCTGCTCTGGCCTGAGCTGTGGCGGTCCAACTTCCTGAACCTGTGACAGAGCAAGAGCGGGAGCCTCCTGCCATCCCTGGGGCCTGCACTCTGGTCCTCCTGTGACTTCCCTGTTCCCCCTCCAGCCTCCTTCCTGTGAAAGCACAGGAACATTTTCTACCAGCAGTTCCTTGTGCTGTGCTTTACCTCTGTGGTTTGGTCACCTTTGCAGGAAGACCTGGCAGTGACCCTGCTATTTAAACTGAGCTTGCCCCCCACACCCATCCTGCTTTGCTCCTCTATCCCCAGCATCTGCCTCCGTCCTCCAGCAGCACTGTTTTCTTAACATCTTATTGTCTCTGTTGGGGATGGGGATGTTTATTTTGATAACTGAAATGCCCTCGGGCTCCTTAGAATGTTGCCTGTGGCTAGAAAAGTATCCTGAACCAACCCTGTACCAACCAAGTGCTTGAATGAATTTGCACAAGTGAGTGAAGGCCATGCAGGGTCCTTAACAGCCTCCCACCCTGTAGACAAATATGTGCTGCTGTCATTACAGTAAGCACTTTTCTGTGCTTTAAACATAAGATTTGCATGGGGCTGGAGAGATGGCTCAGTGGTTAAGAGCACTGGCTGCTCTTGCAGAGGACCTGGGTTCAAATCCCAGTACCCATATGGCAGCTATCAACCATCCATGTAACTCCTGTTCCAGGGGATCCAACACCCTTTTCTGACCTCTACAGGCATTGCACGACATGGGTGCACTCACATACATGCAGGCAATATACTTCATACAGAAAATAAAAATAATCAAATATTTTTTAAGCCGGGTGTGGTGGCCCACGCCTTTAGTCTTTTATTTTTTAAACAAGATTTGCAGCGGAATTTCTTGGTTTGGTGTTTTCCTAATTCCCACCAGAAGAAAGCATGTCCTGGGGTCCAGGTGCACTGTTACTGCAGATCTGAAAGCAGTGAACAGGGAACTGCCATGGTTGTGTGTTCACGGAGGATGGCTGCCTTCTGCTCAGCCCCCACCCTGAGCCAAGCCCAGTGGTGATGGTCTGCAGAGAGAGCGCTAGGGGAACGTGAGCAAAGACAAGGCCCAGGCCTTTGCTCTATCCTGCAAGACCGACCCATCTTGGGAGTTCTTCCATGTCTTTAAAAGACACTGAGTTTATCAAAAACCCAAATATATAACAGTCATCTGTTTAAAGCTCAGCCATTTGTTACTTGTCTTGCCCTTCAGCAATTACTATACAAAGCCATATCAGCCACTTGCTTTACAGGAAGTTTTCAAGATGCAAATCACTTGTGGTGTTTAGTTTAACTTATTAGAGGAAAAAACGTGATCCATTGGAGAATGGATAGTTTGGGGGTTTTTGTGTTTTTTTTGTTGTTGTTGTTTTTTTTTGTCTTTTGAGACAGGGTCTCCCTATAGCCCAAGCTGTCCTGGAACTCACTATGTAGACCAGGCTGGCCTCAAACTCACAGAGATCCACCTGCCTCTGCCTCCCGAGTGCTGGGATTAAAGGTGTGCGTCACCACGCCCAACATGGATAGTTTATTTTAAAAAGAAAAAATAACTCCAGTTCCAGAAGAATCTGAAGCCCTCTTCTGACGACCACGGGATTGCATTGCACGACATGGGTGCACTCACATATATGCAAGCAGTACACTCGTACACATAAAATAAAAATAATAAAATATTTTTTTAAAAAAAAGAAAAAAAGGACTGGCAAGATGGCTCTTGCCCACCACTGTGCCCATCCCCCTGCTTTGGGACCAGCCCTTCCTTTTCTTATCAGCTCTCTTTGGGCCTTGGCCCCATCCTGCTGAGGCTGCCAGAGTGTGCCCAACTGGCCAGGATGGAGACTATTACAGACTTTCAGAACTGGTCAAACATCAGGAATAATGTCTGTGACACGCTTACCCCTAAGTGACACATCTTCAGTGCAACCTCTACTCATAGGATGGATGCATCTCTCAACTCTCACCAGAGAAGTTTCCTTATGCAGCAGATGGTGATTAACACAGAAACGCACAATTGGCTGATGTGCAGAGAACAAGAGACTGCCGAGTGCTTAGCCCTGAATAGCACACCTATTTCAAACCTCTGCCTCCCAAGGCCAGGGATCCTTGTGGAGCGGGGTCGTAAGAGCCAGAGGGGGCTGATGGCCACAAGGAAACAGAGTCTTCCAGACAGCTGGTCAGTTACTCATATGAACTCACAGCAATGGTGACAGCAGGCACAAATCCTATGCAAGCTCAGAATCCCAGCATAGACATGGGGAAGTGGGTAAGAAATCCCAGCCCAACCTAAGGAGCTTATGCCAATTACTGGCTGCTGGAGGGGGAAAGACAGTGTCTTACAGAGATGGGACTCTTGGTGGGCCCTGTGCATGGACCCACACTGAAGGACATTTGGAGACAAATCAGACTCTATAGGCCATATTATATATATAAGAGTACATACATTGTGTGGTAAGCAGTGGGGCGGGGGGGGTATGAATAGGGGAGGGGATCTAAATACTATCAAACTACATTGTATGAAAGTTATAAAACTTGAATTTAAAAAAAAAATAAAGATGATTCTTGCCACCAAGCCTGATAACCTGAGTTCAATCCCCAGAACCCACATGGTGGAAGGAGAAAACCAATTCCTGCAAGTTGCCTTCTGATTTCTATATGTATATTGTCACATACAGAAAGGA